AAGTTTATGCCAGTATGGGACAGACATTGGTTAAAGCAGGAACAGATCTCATTTCCTTCATAGACAAAAATTTGTTTGGTTATGGCTACAAGGGAAAAGTTATTATCTCATCAGCATCCTTCAGCACATTTGCTTATGTTCAAGCAGCGGCAACAGCAGCAAAAGAATCACGAAACGCGCACCGTTATTTCTTCACGATAGATCAAGAAGGGAACAACTATGAGGGCGTGATGAAGAAGCTGTCCCCATTTACATACAATAGAGTGTACGGTACAGGTTCTGGTTCGTGTGGTAAAGTGGTGACTTATTACAATGCTATTAAAGCTGCCGTGGCTGGTAAGAAGCAAGGTGAAAATGGTATGAATTACATCTATACGGTAGACAAAGAAGAAATTATGCGAGAGTATATCAAACTGGGTGTCGAAGGAATCATGACGAATCGCGTTGCTTTAACCAAGAAGCTTGCCATGTCCCTAGGCCTAAGGATCGCACTGCCGAACGATCCGATTCCAATTTCAACAAAAATTGTTGGTAGTAAGTATGATGATATAAATGAAAGAGTTCAATGAACAAAGAGCTTTGTTTTTCCTGCTTCAGAAGATTCTAATAGTATACAAGTATACAGAGTTTTTAAAGTTTCTGTACAGCAATAGAAGTAAGACTAACACATCAGTAATTTATAATCACTACCGTCCTGGAGAATTTGAATTTGAATAGATGCCTGGATATGCAGCTACTTTGATAGCTAGAGAGAAAATCAAATAGTTTAATGATACATTAGTCGACCGGTTATCAGATGACGCAGTTTGATTTCTATTCTGATTTTGTAATCTTTCTTAACAAATCTTTCGTGCTTATTGAGATATACTCATGTGGATGCATTTATTTCAACTCACTTGTATTTCCATAGATAGGGGCCACGATTGCTTAGTTCTTAACTGTGTGAATAAATTACAATATTCACCTTACCATGAAGCTTCTATGGGCTTACGATATTTTCTCCTGATTGCTCTACAAGTGTAATAGTTGATAACTATACATAAAAAAAGAAAAAAAGAAAAATAAATAAAAAACTGCTATTCTGTTTTAGTGAGCGTTTTATTCAAAAGTATGTTTTGAACAGAAAAATGACTGAGTCATCCCTTTTTTTCCGACCAAAGCACGAGCGATCGAATTGAAATCTATGCATATATACGAGCTAATATTTACAGTGTCGACTTTTTATAGATTAAAAACTTTTCCTTCAATGACCTTTTAGCAGATTTCAAAAAATGAGAACTACAAAAAGCAGCATTTTCGCGATACATTTCACATTTGAGTTATCTCATCTGAACTGTGCATTCAAGAAAAGCACGAAATAAGTACCTCAGAAAGTGGCTTCTATTTCTACTAAAATTTCAAGCACAATCGAATGTACTATGTTCGAGAAACGAGAGCACAAACAAAGGTCACTTTTAACACTTATAAAGTGAATATTCTTAGAAGGAAGCATCCAGAAATTTTACATCTGTAACAATTTCTTGCTGTAATAGCCGAGATGTCTTTGGGCTGCTAGTTTCAGAATGCTCTCGGTTAGTAGCTCTTGAAAAAACCACCAGAAATGAGAAAATGTCCTTACACAGATGTCCCAAACCAATACCAACCGAAATCGTTTTGTTAGCAAATAACCATACAAAGGTCTATTGGCGCATTATTTAGGAAATTTTGAGCTTCTAGAAAATGAAAATTGACCATTATCTCGGTTTCATTGACTTTTCTGAACCCTTAATAATATCTCCGTAGGCTCCTGAGTCATTCTGATTTCAAGAGAATCAGTTATAATTATCTCATCAAGCGAGTAGTGTTCTTAATAATTTGTTCTCAAATAGCACTATTCACAAAAATCGATCATTATTTTAGTTATTTTTTCTTTATTTTCATTGCAGAAAAACGACATGATGTGGTTCGAACGATTGAACCGGAATCAGGTCCTTGGGGTGAATTTACTGATATGGTTTATTGTGATGCAAATACGTGGGCAATTGGTTTTCGTCAACGTGTAGAGAAACCATGTGATAATTGTGATGATACTGCTTTGAATGCATTGGAATTATTGTGTGGAAAGAAAGATGGAACTCCAGTTAAGTCAATTACATCACACAAAGGTTTTTGGGGCGATTGGGATGACAATGTTCGTTGTCCTGGAAAAAATAAATTTTTGAAAGGTGTTTCATTCAAAATTGAAGAACCTCAAGAAACAGGTGATCATACAGCTGCAAATGATTGTCAATTTGCATGCTCTCAATCATCTAATATTTTCGCATCGAATGGTTATCCATGGGGCGACTGGAAGCAGATGAAATATTGTCCTCCATCAACAGCTATCTGTGGAGTTTCACTAAAATTAGAAAATATACAGCACGAGGGAGATGATACAGCCGCAAATGGAGCAAAATTCGACTGTTGTACTTTATGAATAAGCTTGTGTATACTGTTCTTATTCGTTAGGTTTTATTATAACTCCTAAAATATTCAATCAAACAATAATATATAACACACTTCTGCAACTCCTGTCCTAGCGTCTAATAACTTTATTACTTATCAAAATCTTAGACAGAAACAGTGTACCGCAAAAGTTATGATACCCAAAAAATTGAGTATCTCCATAACGAAACGAGCAAATAAACTGATTTTTTATCAGTGATAGAGGTATCTTCAAGAGTGTGGGTGTGAAAATCATGTAAGAGATTACTTATACCATACCTAAACCCACATACTGACACCTACACCCTTCATCAGGTTAAATTCTTCATCTTATATCTGTATAGGAATGTAATTCTCTGGAACATTGGTCGAAACATTTGAACATACACATGCATAGATGCAATAATTAATTTAAAAATATATGCACATAGAAATTTCTGAATAGAATTAACTCTAACTAGAATTATAGACAATTCTAGAAGTCAATATCTATTCTAACAAAGGAGATATTTTTACTGTAACTGAGCTAGACCTGATATTTTTGGCGTCAAAATAAAAGCTCTCATTACCAAAGTAGTAAGTTTAAAATTTAGCTGTTGTTGGTACATCACTAAATAGATATTGGAATTTTACATGGTTCTCAATATGAGTATTGTATATTAGGATATGAAGAGTATTTAAACCGATTCTTTGTATAATCAACTGAGTGTTTTGATTAATAACAATGTAATAAAAATGCTCATAGTGTGTTTGAGAGATGGTTCTCATCTATAATGTTTAAATTTCGAGTGCATTGATGTCATACTTGATGGTGTAAGATACTGTTCAAATATTAAGCCATCACTAAGCGATAAAAATGGACTAGATCTGAAGTGAAAAAAAGGAGCTGGTCACTTCGAATATATAATAATGCTAATAATAATGGAAAGGTAAGAATTCTAAAGATAAAGAAATAAAATTGAATATCTGAATAGTTTCTATTGGCTTTTTCTTTTCTATTGGTGCTAAGGAGTCACAAAAAATATGAATCTAAAGAATTGCTCAGTTAATTTTTTATTAGTTTCTAGTTGAATTTTTTTTATTGACCTTAGTTAGAGTTCAGAAGATATCAGTATTTAGTTGATTGTACAAAGAATCGATCTAAATAATCCTCATATTCTGATGTACAATCGAGAGAGAGCAAGTGGAGATCCTGCACCTGTTCAGCATCGTCAGTACTTTTTTAACAACTTGTGACACACTTTGGTGTTTAAGTTCAGCTAATGTATGTATAGGACCTTATCAGCACATTGCACTGGTAGGTACCAAGAAACACTCAAGGTTGGTGAGAGGTGCTGTCAAAGTAATGAAGGTGTGGAAGTTGTACATATTTAGACTTGTTCCAACTGCTAAATAGCTGCTGAAGGTACAGGATCTGCACTTACCCCCTTGTGTCCAATACTTATACTGAGTATTATGTAAAATTTCAATATCTATCTAGTGATGCACCAATGAAAGCTAAATTTTAAACTTACTACTTTGGTTATGAGAGCTTTTATTTGATGCCAAAAATATCAGGTCTAGCTCAATTAGAACACAAGCACCTCCATTATTAGAATTACAAGCTGTACAAACGTTGTAAATTTCATCATTTTGCAACTTAGTTGAGAACCTCAAAATGTCTAATTACAAATGTCTTGAATTGTCCCTGAAACTGATCTGGATCTTCATACCTTATGTATGAAAAAAAACTTTTTTTATTACCTCTAACAGTTTTCGATCACGTTACATCTGACTAGAGCGTCAAAATCGACAAAAACTCATTTTCCAAATTGTGTAGAAATCTCATAGATTCACCCTCTTTTTATAAATATATTCAAGATTACATTTAGTAGGCATAGCACTTGAACTTTAAAAGTACATCGATAACTTAGTTAAAGTTAAAGTAAAGTACTTCTTTTAAAATTCAATTCATAGTAAGAATCCTTGAAATTTTCAGTTTACAAAAAAGTTTAAGTTAAAGTCAAATTTTTCACAAAAAATCAGTTTTTTTATGAAAAAAAAATAATTTTTTTTATAAAATAGATTGTTGTGAAAAAATGTACCTTAACTTTAGCTTGAAATTTTGAAGCACAAGCATGTTATGTTAGCTTTAACTTTTAAAAAAGTTAAAAGCGCCAATTCTAACCCTTAGACTGTTACTCCAAACATATGAACCACACAAGTGGGAAAAGCTCTTGAAAAACATTTCGAATAAAATAGATGCAATTTGTAAGTAATATGTAATTAAGTGAGAACTTAATCTTACATGTTGTAAGTTCTTATGCCAATAAACCAAAATTTTTAAAATTATTGACTCGCGTAACTCGGACTGAACCATCACTGTTACTTACGTTTGTTGATTTTTTTAGAAAGAAGGGTGTGGGGTGTGGGTATTTTTCTTCTAGCCAACCACACCCACACACTTTGGATCATATTTCATTATTTAATAAGTCATTAATTGATATCGAATAAATATTGAGTAAAATAATAATGTCATATGAAAATAAGTTTTTTTTCATTGCACAAAAGCAAGCATTTTTGCATGCAAAACAAACCGAATAAAAAGCAAAAGAAGATATACAATATCGAAAATGAAGCATTGCTGATATTCTAGTCAGTTTATTCAAATCTAGGACGATGAATGTACATGTCTAAAAAAACATGGACATCTTCTCATAATGCATCGGCAGAGTCGTAACAAATACCAGACAAAAACTTGTAAGAATGCAGTCAATCCCACCGTACAATCCAAGCAGTGTTGTAAATAAGTAGACAGCACTGTTTTGTTCGGTTTGATGATATTGACATGTCGATGGAGCACATAATTGAAAATAATTTGAATAAGAAGCTGAATAAGTCCATGAGCCTAGGAAATTTTCTTCTAAAATCATGCCAACTGGAGTCATCGGTGAAAATGGCGTTGTATCACGATTCAATTTAGTAAAGGAAACAAGTAGAAGTCTGTTTAATTTACTCACACAAATATCATCATAGAAAAACTCAAGGGTAGATTGATAAAGACCATACTCATGATTGAACATCCCACTACAAAGCCTAAAAGTATCAGACATCAAATATAATGGTAAAATTGTTTTAATTACAGATATTGTTGGAAACTTCAATAAATCACTATGAAATGATAGAATCTTACAAGAACAAAATTGATTAAAGAACCTACCTGGTAATATTGTTGGTTCATCATTCTGATCATAAAAAATAGGCGTTTTTGTACAATTTGACTTGCCACTTGCACAAGAACAACTACCGTTCATTAAAGAAACTGGACGCATACGAAGAATGTAGTTTTCTTTGAAGCTCGAATATTCTGTTTTCCAGCTTGTCATATATTGATTTTGAAATCGATTAGCTTGAAATATATCAGAAATCCAATTCAAGGCATGATTTATGGAGACTAAAGGATGTTTAAGCATTTCAGATAGTGACATATTGAGCAATGCATCGAAAGTTCCTTAGGTCATCGGTTCTATTGATATGAAACTTTTTATAAGACAATTCGCCGCCTGCTGTAAAGCAAAGTCTACAATACTACATCGGAATCTTAGAAATCTCATTTGAGGTACGATAAAAGTCAACATGAATTCATCGTATAAAACGTTTTCTGGTAATGAAACTGTTGATAGACTCTGGTAGATCAGTTGATGACAGATTTCGTGTAAGTTATTTGAAGTCTCTATAATATCCTCGTAATTAATAGATATTCGTGTACAAGGACACGATAAACTATCTGAATAATGAGTATGAAGAAATGAGAAATAAGTCTCATTTGGTGATTTTACGGCGATCAGTAGTGTACAAAGCTGAAATCGTATGAAAATTGATATAGTCAAGAAAGATATTATGAGAAGAAAAATATAGATACGCGTTGCCAAAATTTGATATTCAGCTTCAGGTTTATTTTGATGCAAGTTTATGGAACAAAGCTTATCTCGAAGATAGACAATCAGTCGCCGACGTGCAAGAATACCTAGAATAATTTTAAATAATTGAATATCTGAAGCATAAAGTTTGATACCTCGTGTTCGGTGAAGACACAAATGATAAATTCCAAGAATAATTTTGATCAATAATGGAATGAGAAGACTCAATAGAACAGTCAGTCATCCGATGAGTCAAAAAACGGTGTTAACAAGAGTAATTGGATGCAATTTCTGATCTATGGTGTAGGTACATATTTCTGGCTGACATTGAGCATAGTAAGATTCATAATCTACGATATCGATCCATTTATCGACAAAAGCGTTTACCATGAGAACATAGAATATATCATCAGGAATAAAAGTGTACATGTTCTCTGACTGAAGTGCCGTTATATTACTGAAGTCAACTGATAAATAGAAATTCTCATAACCATAAAGACGTTCGTCGATGAGCATCTGAACACATGACGGGTTGAAAAGACAACCCAGTGAGCAAAGATCAAAATCTAAAAATTGACAACCAAGAGCTATGCTAGGAACAACTTCATGTGGTTCAGAATCCGTTGGTACACATGACGTTGAAGAGCAATAGAAACCCAATGGTAGCCAGCATAAACCTTCGCTATCACAAGAGCATGCCCAATAATCTGACATTGCAATATTACCTGGAACTTAGTATAAGTACAATGTGTTATCAATCTGTTTTGAGATTAGGGTAGGATTATGTGAACCGAATGAAACGAAATCACTTTGTCGAATACTCGTGTCCAGAGGATAGACTTTACTCAAAGTCATGGTGATAATCTACATTACAAAAAAAACACAATAAATATTGTGAAATTAACTTTTAAATCGTTTTCTACCTGCATTTGGAAAGAATTCTTCCACGAATCAGTTATATTATCGAATTCGGACCTTGTTATTGGTGTAGAAGAAAAAAATTCCTCCGCTTCAAATGCATTCAAGATATCGGACTAGAAAAGAAGGAGTAGGATCAATAGTACCAATGAGAAATGTCATCGTCCAATATTGA